CTCCCCCCCCTTACAGAGCCACCCACATGTGCTCTGCTCCGGAGTTGGAGCTGTAGGTTCGACGACCCCTTGCCCTATCCTCTCGTGTGCCCTCTCTCTCTTTTTTTACGATCAGTGGAAACAAGAAGATGCTCGGTGTATTCGGCACTTTGTTTCGTTCATCATTTCGTAATTCTTTTTTTATTTTATTTTAAAAAGGGCTTTATGTAGCCCTCGCTCGCTCGCTCGCTCACTCTCTCGCTCGCTCTCTCGCTCTCTCTCACTCGCTCTCCCTCTCGCTCATTCTCTCGCTCACTCTCTCGTTATGTACGCCTCTGCTATCTCCCATCTACCCCCCCCCCCCCCCCACCACGTCTCTTCTCACTCTTTCCGTTTTTTCCTCTCCCCTAATCGCTAACTCTCCATTCTCTCCATTAGCGCACCCCCCCCCCCACCCACCGCCGCCTCCTCCCTCTGATCCCATCGCCACCCTCTGCTTCTCTCTCCCCGATTCTCTCTCCCCCTTCTCGTTCTTTCCCCTGTCCCCGCATTCTCTCTCTCTCTCACTCTCTCTTCCCTCGGCTTCCGCCGGTGATGACCTCTTCATATCGGCACTCGGTGCAGTGGAGGCTCACAGCGCTAGACCAAGACTCCCATAAGTTCAGTGTTAGTCAATGGGGCTCAAATAGGTTTCATTGTTATGCACAGGGGCTCTCATTTGGTTCAGTGTTAGTCACTGGAGCTCCCATGGGGTTTAGTGTAAATTACTGGGGCGGACGGAGCCAGACTGAGGCTCCCATAGGGTTCCGTGTTGATCACTGGGGTTCCCATCGGGTTCTGTGTCAATCACAGAGCCAGACCGAGGCTCCCATAGGGTTTCAGTGTTAATCACTGGGGCTCACGGAGCCAGAATAAGGCTCCCATAGGATGCAGTGTCAATCACAGAGCCAGACCGAGGTTCCCATAGGGTTTCAGTGTTAATCACTGGGGCTCACGGAGCCAGAATAAGGCTCCCATAGGATGCAGTGTCAATCACAGAGCCAGACCGAGGTTCCCATAGGGTTTCAGTGTTAATCACTGGGGCTCACGGAGCCAGAATAAGGCTCCCATAGGATGCAGTGTCAATCACAGAGCCAGACCGAGGCTCCCATAGTGTTTCGGTGTTAATCACCGGGGCTCACGGAGCCAGAATAAGGCTCCCATAGGGTTCGGTGTCAATCACAGAGCCAGACCGAGGCACCCATAGGGTTTCGGTGTTAATCACTTGGGCTCACAGAGCCAGAATAAGGCTCCCATAGGATGCAGTGTCAATCACAGAGCTAGACCGAGGCTCCCACTGGGTTTCAGTGTTAATCACCGGGGCTCACGGAGCCAGAATAAGGCTCCCACTGGGTTTCGGTGTTAATCACTGTGGCTCACTCGAGCCAGACCGAGGCTACACGGGAGCCCGCTGTTGCCGGGGTCAGGGCAGCGCACGGGATGTTTGGACAGCGCTCATTAGCGCGAGATAAGGAGAGAGCTAAATCCAGCTCGAGGCGAGGCGACGGGTGGAGCCACGTGGTGCGCACAAAGACAAAGGTCCCCCGTGCAGTTGAACACCAAGTAGTATTAAGTCTTAGTAGGGGCTTTCGCGAGCAATATTTTCCGTAATAAAGTTGTTGTCTTTTTTTGGGGGGGGGGAGGGGAGGCAGGGGGTTAGATCGCGTGAATATAAATGTTGTGTCGTTAAACCCTCCACCACCACCCAACACAGCCAAGAAGTGGGAATCACTGAGGCTCACCAGAGTCAGATTAAGGCGCCCAGAGGGTTCACTGTTGTTCACTGAGTCTTACAGAGCCAGACTACGGCTCCCAAAGAGTTCAGTGTTAAGTCACTGAGGCTCACAGTGCCAGACCAAGGCTCCCATATGATTTACTTTTAATCATTGAGTCTTGCAGAGCCATACTACGGCGTCCATAGGGTTCAACGTTAAGTCACTGAGGCTCACAGAGCCAGACCACGGCTCACATTGGGTTCAGTGTTAATCACCGGGGCTCACAGAGCCAGACTACGGCTCCAATATGGTTCAGTGTTAGTGACTGGGGCTCAAATTGTAAATGTTGCTGTGGGTTTACTCTCCGACACACAACCAGTTAATGCCGATTTGATTGGGGTTAGATCGCATACATATAATTGTGTCGTCGTTAAACCCGCCACCACCACCACCCGACACAGCCAATGCGTAAAGGGGTTTGTCACGTAAACAAAACGTGCCAGTTAGTTACTAGTTCAGAACTAAACCAGTTGTGTGTTGAAGTGTACATCCCACAACACAACTTTGTAACAATTCGAATAGCTGGTGACGTGACGCTGGTGATTACAACCAGCTTCATCGGGCGATTGGCCAGAATTGTGAATAAGTCAGATACTTCATCGCAATTCTGCCGAATTACTCAACAACATTTACGGTGTGATCAGTTGCAACCCGTAGCTTCATCAGGCGATTTGCATTCTGGGTAATGGCCTGATGAAGCTGGTTGTTGTGGTTGTTGTAACCACTGGCGAAACATCGCAGCAGTACTCACATGGTCAATATTGTTGCGGCTTTAACTCTTCAACACGCAACAATCGGTTCAGTGCTGAAGTAGTCAATAATTGGGCACATTTTGTTTACGTGACAAACCTATTACTCATTGGCTCTGTCGGGTGGTGGCGGGTTTAACGACACACATTCATATATATACGCGATCTAACCCGAAAGAAACCTATATTGTGGCGCACATATCCGAATATGGTATTTATACTGCGGGAGAAATCTGATTAACTATAAAGCTCTTTTTCACAAATGCAAAAAGAACGAACACAATGCACACAGACACGATAGGAGTCGTGCAAAGTCTCGGAAAGGTACCCCAATTGCTAAAAAACTATGCAAATACTACTCAACAATGTTTTTGTATTTCACCAGGGAAGGCCCACTGAGCCTCTTTGGCCTCTTTTTCAGAAGCGAGCACCTGGCTATCACAAATAATAGCTCAACGAAGTGGCTTTTCACGTGGCAATTTATATCAGCCAAATAATCGAAATCATCTCAACGCATATTTCTAAATGAAGAACGGCACAGTACACGACGGGGTGGGTGGGCAGCAACAACGCCCGGCTGCATTTTTCTCCCCAGCGCTGATGTTATATACTCAACTAAACAATGTTTTACTTTGCCAGGTAAGGCCCACTGAGCAATTCGGTTTTTTTCAGAAGTCACCTGGCTAACACAAATGATAGGTCAACGAAGTGGCTTTTCACGTGGCAACGTATAGCAGCCAAATACTCTAAAAGCGTGTCGATTTTAAATGTGGGGAGAAAAACTGGTGGACCACGGGAAGAGAGACACGCAACCTCCAAATATACAAGAGGCGTCAGGGTCGGGATCGAACCCACAACCTCCTGTATACCAGACGAGGTAGTTAACATCTCCTAGCCACTGCTGTATCCCAACTAACAATACTTGCCCCAACAGTCTGCTAAAGGCTATACAGATGATCTTTGCCTTTGTGTACGGCGTACGCGAGTGTGAATGATAAAGGTTCTTGCTGTCAATCTATCCCCGTGTTCACTGAGAAATCTAGAGTGGGGAGGGGTAGAGAGGGCGAGGGAGGGAGAGCGAGATAGAGTGGAAAGAGAGAGAGACACGGGGAGAGTAAAGAGAGAGCGTGAGACACAGAGAAAGACGCAGAGACACACACACAGAGAGAGAGAAACACACCGAGAAAGTTAAGTCCACAGAGACGCACATACATACATACAGACACACACACGTAAACACGCGTACCGATACAATACTGGCGCAGCGTCGGCATAAAGACACAGCGAAACACACAGGCACACATTCGCATGTAAGGATACGCAAATGCCTACAGAGACACAGACACGTGCAGAGACGCAGACGCACAAGGTATGTACACAAAGCGCTTAGATGTACGCATGAGACCATAGCCAACACGCACACACAGAGACACGACAGATACAGATGCACAGACAGAGACACACACACACAGATAACCACTTGAAACCATAACGCACACACATGCACACACACACATGTACACGACAGATACAGATGCAAGCAGCGACACGCACACACACAGCTAACCACTTGAACTCATAGACAGCACACACAAACACAGAGACACGACAGGCACAGATGCACGCACAGAGACACGCACACACACTCAACCTCCCTTCTGGACTGGAACGCCTGGGTTACCACAATCCCCTACGTCTGCACGTGAAGTTCCCGCCTCACAACGGGATCGAACCTGGGGTTGTCTCGGCACCTAGCGTCTGGAATATCACCAGGAGTCCAACCCGGGGACGGGCTGCCCAGTGTGGTGTGTTCGGAATGAAGTGAAAACGTCTGCACGCTGCCTTTTTGGACTTCTCTGGAGCCCAAGTTTGGAGTCTATTGAGGATTGTCCGCCCGCTCTAACTTGGGAGAAGCTTTCCTTGTTTTCACAGTACAACGTGACACTTCTCTGGATACAAACCTGGGGTAACTTTGGGTGTGGATTGAACTTCAACCAAGCCAAAATCAACGCCTGACTCGCAACCTCACAACCTGGAATTGAACCTGACATCTTGAAAGCAGAGCCCAGGCATCGAAACTGGGATACTTTTCCAGTCTAGAAGATTCTCAATGTTTGTTGCTGTGTGGGGTTTAACTCTCCAACACAACACCACAACCGGTTAGTGCTGAAGGAGTAAACCAATTGTGCAAGGTCTGTGTTACGTGAGACAAACCCGCTTACTATATTGGTTGTGTCGGGTGGTGGTGATGGGTTTAACTACGACACATTCATATAATTTACACGATCTAACCCAAAAGTAAAACATTATTAACGATTTTATTGTTTGTGACATTTCTGGGAAAGAAATTCCTTGGAACTTTCTGAATCTGCGGGGTCTAGGGAGAAAGTGGGGTGGTGGGTGAGGTGGGGTGAGGGGGGGTAAGGTGAGGTGGGGTGGGTGACGTGAGGGAGGGTGAAGGTGAGCTGAGCTTTACCGAGGACCTGGCCGTTATGAATCTCCTCCTCCTCCTTCTGGCGCTGCTGTGCGCACGTGGGGGACCTCTGGCTATTGTGACGTCACGGCGGCCTGTGACGTCACCCTCACCGTCGACGTTATCGTCGTCGCAGTCGTCGACAACATCGACGGAAGCCGCGATGTTCACTCAAACAGCGTCGTCGTCATCAACATCATCAACATCGACAACTCCATCACAAAGACCATCAACATTAACGTCAACATTATCCACATCATCATCATCATCGCCACCAATAACATCAACATCCACATCATCATTACGTGATGATGATGATGATGATATCAATGTTGATGATGATGGCGCCAATGATGATGCTTATGATGATGATGACTTTGCTAGTGGTGACCCGGGTCTGTTGATGGAAAGGCGCTTCATGCTTCAACTCTACAACAGGTGACGATGATGGTGGTAGTGATGAAGGTGGTGGTTATGAAGGTGATGGTGGTGAATGCGCTGGTGATGGTAGTGGTGAGGAAGGTAGTGGCGGTGTGAAAAGTCGTCTCTCTCTCTAGCGTATGGCAAGTATGTGCAAATCACACGTCCATGTTTAAGTCGAGCCATGGCGATAGCTTTGGGAGTTGTGCGACTAATACTGGACAGCGGCGTAGGATGCAGTTCTTCGCGATGTGGTCCATTGTCTGGTTCGGGTACCCGCAATCACACTGTGGGTTGGTTGTCCTTAATTCTCCACTTGTAGAGGAGGTGTGCGCAGTGGCCAGTTGTTGTTCTGAAGCGGTTGATGGAACACCGTAAGTTTTGTTGATCTAGATGTTAAATTACTTTGCGCAGACCGGCGCTCAGTACCCAGCACTGGAGCACGCGAGTGCGAGGATGGCCGTGCGGAGGGTTTTGTCGGTGGGTCCCCACGTTGTACCGGCCAGTTTGCTTTTAGTTTTTTCGCACACTTTTTCAATTTACTTTTTGAATGAGGCTTCTGTCTAATGTTACGTCTAAGTGCTTGGGATATAGCTCATTTTGACAGGATTATCACAGAAAGTCGCTTCCAACTTTGCCTTTATGTCATGGTTATTGAGATGGTGGATTGAGACAGTCGTTTTGGATGGATTCAGCCATAGCCTCCACCTTTGCAAGTAGTCTTCTAATACGGACACATCTCCCGTGTGTCACTAATGGACTTCAGGTTTCTTCCCTGAGTAGCCATTGCTACGTGGTCCGCATAGACAAATTTGCGGGATGATGTCTTTGGCAGGTCGCTTGTGAAGATGTTTAACAGGATCAGAGCCAGTATTGATCCCTGAGTAAGCCATTATTGACTGTTTTTGTACGGCTTGTGTTTCCGGGAAAGGTGTACCCAGAAGTTTCGGTTGCTGAGCATCAAGTTCAGCAGATTCAGTGTTGAACGGCACCTTGATAATGCGCACTGCCCTGAGTAGGAGTCCACCGTCTCTGGACGGTGTCATAGACGGATGAGCGGTTGTCATGGCGGTACCGGTTTTTTGCTTTCACTGGAATCCAGCTTCGATTGAGCTGGTGAGGGAAGGGACCTGCTCACAGCAGTTTCTGGCAGGTCGAAAGCCGGCTTGTTCGACGGGAAGGCGTGGCTCAAATCTGCGAGCAGAGTGTGCTCTATCAATGTGTGTACCGTTGACAGCAGTGAGATGGGCCTGTAACGTGAGGCCTGATCTTCTGGCTTTCTATGTTTCAGCAGGGCGACGACTTGCACTCCCTTCTCAGGCTCTGGGGATTGTGCCACTTAAATGGACAGTGGTAAACCAGGCCGCGAGCCAGTCTTATGCGTTGGTGATGGTGGATCTAAAGGTGGTGGTGGTGATGATAGTGGTAGTGCTGAAGGTGGTGGTGGTGAATGTGTTGGTAGTGGTGATAGTGGTGGTTCTGAAGATAGTGGTTATGAAGGCTGGTTGTGATGAAAGGGGTGGTGGTGGTGATGATGAATGCATTGGTGATGGTGGTGATGATGATGGTGGTTCTGAAGGTGGTGGTTATGAAAGTGGTGATAGTGGTGGTGATGTTTTGGTTGATGTGGTAATGATGAAAATGCGTTGTTGATGGTGTTGATGATGGCAAATGCATTGTTGAAGGTGGTGGTTATGAAGGTGGTGTTGGTGGTGGTGATGGTGAATGCATTGGTGATGGTGGTGATGATGGTGAATGCTTTGGTGATGGTGGTGGTTTTGAAGGTGGCGGTTATGAAGATGGGTGCTGATGACAATGATGATGCTGTTGATGATTCTGCTGCCTCTAATGATGTTCATACTGCTGCTGATGTTGATGCCCCTGCTGATGGTGTTGATGTTGCTGTAGATTCCTCTCTGATCGCTCCGCTATTCCATCCGCAAACACCGTGAGGAGTTTCAGAACAGAGGGTGAGCAAATCGCAGCACATCACTCACTTCTTTCGAACCGTTTCGTGTTATTGTTTTAATGTGTTTGTCCTTCCCCCGCACCTCCGATTAGCATGGCTGGCTACATTCAGGTGCAAAAGAAGTTCAACATACATATTACTATACACTACTATACACTGCTATATATTACACTATATATTACACTATATACTACACTACTATATAATACACTGCTATATACTACACTATACACGACACTACTACACTGCTATATACTACACTACTGTATACTATACACTACACTATATACAGTACTACTATATACTACACTACAATACATTACACTATTCACTACACTACTATACACCACTATATACGACACTACTATACGCGACACTATACACTACTATATACTACACTGCTTCCCCAGATGGTATTGAATCCTGCCATTACTCCTTTTGCCTTTGCAATCTTCGCTCTGTCTTTCGTATAGTCGATGTCCCATGTCAGTAGACTTCCCAACTATACAAATTCCCTAACAGTCACAATCTTGCTGCTTTCTATTATTATTTCGCAATGTCCTCCCTTCCGAACACTATCTTCGTGTTTTCCACGTCAATCCTCAGTCCTGCATCCTTTCTTGACTTATTCAGCGTATGACCACCTTCCTGCAGTGCTAAGCAGCTTTCTTCCATCAGATCTATGTCGTCCGCGAATCTCAGGTTATGTATTCTTTCTCCTTGCATGGGTATTCCCGTTTGTCGTTGCCCAGAATTGCATCCATCACTCTTTCCAAGTATGTGACCAAGTTGTTTGGTGAAAGCGGCTCTCCCTTCTCATACTTATTGTTGTTGGGATCTATTCTCCTATTTCCTGTCCAAACTTTACTGCTGACTTTGACCTTTACCGTATATATCCTGCAGAATCTGTGTGAGTCCTTGTTGCCCACGTTATTCTTTCTCTGATATAAGCCCTAGAATCAAGATTTGGTGTATTGTATGGCCGGTCTTTCCTAAACCCTTCCTGTTCATCCGCTAAATAATCCTCAGTCTGCGCCTTCAATTGATGGATTAGTACTGTCATTAGTATATTGCCCATGTGGCTCATTAGTCCGATGGTTCGGTAATTTTACAATCGGTGAGATCTCCTTTCTTGGGTATTGTCACAAGTGTAGTGACATGAAATGCTGTCACTCTATGGTTAGCGCCAGCCATTATTTCACAAGTCCTATACTCTTAGTTCTTTCGGTAAAGTCACGTAGGTAAAAAAGTTAAATTAAAATTAATAAAACTAAAACAATAAAATCCCGACGTTTCGGAGGCAACACAAGTCTCCGTCATCTTGATGCAGCAAATCTGGCTGTGACGGTCCCACCTGATGACGGAAACTTGTGTTGCCTCCGAAACGTCGTGATTTTATTGTTTTAGTTTTATTAATTTTAATTTCATTTTTTACCTACGTGACTTTACCGAAAGAAATAAGAGTATGAATCCTTGCAGTCACGAAAGCTTCAAATCTAGAATTTACAAGTCCTTCTGAGCGCCGGGTAATGGAGGGACACGTGACTGGGAGCCGGGGGGCTCCTTACTGGATACAGCAGGGGGCGTAGCCAAGGGCGTGGTCAAGGGCGGGGCGAGCTCGCGCCCAGGGAAATAAATGGGGATCGGGGTCAATCTTAATTTGGAGCTTTCGTGACTGCCGGAATGACTCTTTGGTTCTTTCGGTAAAGTCACGTATAAAGATAAAATAATAAATTAAATACTAGCATACGACGTTTCGATTGCAACACAAGCAATCATCATCAGGTATAAATGAAATAGAAACACAAATCTAGTTATCTCGGCCTCGCTGTGCGCTGCGTTGCACCGCTAGTCGAGTAGACAACCATGTGTTCAATAAACCCTCGAAGCCAGGATGACCGTCCAACTCCGATCGTCATTTATTGATTGCAACAGGTAAAACTGGTGAGAAAACACAGATACAGCATCTGTTATAATTCGGAAACACCCACACAATGAACACCACAGCATCAGAACATTGTCTCAGATAACAATAGATCCTGGAAGGACCAGGCGCCCACATTACCCCTGAACAACTAGACAAAGGCACAAGCTGATGCGTTGCATACAGGCACAGTGTATTCATCCCACTGCACCCCAAATGTACAGCATTACACTTAACACTAAACTGTGGATGAGATACTTCGTCATCACTCTCAGGATCGCAACATAGGCACAAGTCTGACTCGACCTACTAAATCACAAGTAACATCCACAATAAGGAAAGTCACAGGCTTCGTTACTAACTAGGCCTCGTATTTACTACAACAACTTAACGGCACCATAAAGGCATTTACATTGCTATAACGGTCATTCCAACATTACAACAGCATTTCCAATATTAGAGGAATATAAACAACTTACAGATAATGCTTCTTAAGCTCCCACAATGGATAAGTGCGGCTGTGGTCTCACTGAGATGCGATGCGTGCCGCCATCTTGACTTATCTGTGTAATGGCTGACGCCCGCGTGGTACAGTGGAAATCTGACATCGTCACTTCCTGGTCACGTGACCAACATTAGCATAAAAAAACAGGAACTTCCTGTTAACATACGCTCCCCATCTGCCGTGAGGCAAGACACTAGTATACTTAGAAATGGAATGTAATACAACAGAGATAACATAACAGTCAACACCCTACCTGGTTGATTACGTTCTTTCTGAGAATGCTAAATTTGAGAGAGAGATAAAACACAGAACCAGAAACATATAGACAGACATATAAGCAGACAGATATCACAGAGATACATAGAGAGAGAACAAACATAGGCACACAGAGAAAGCAACGCCTCTTGTGTCGAGGCCTTAAATAGAGAGAGGGGGGCGGGGGCAGAGAGAGAGGGAGGGGTTAGAGAAATTAGCATGTCAATGAGTGGCACGACGAGTGGTACGGTGATCGGGGTCCGTTGTGGGGATCGGCCTGGAGTCCCGTGTCTCTTCGTCTTTGCTCGTCACTCCTCGTCCGTCGGTTGAGTGGAGCCTGATATCGCGGGTCAGACTGTGTGTGCTGGCTGGCCAGTTCGCTACACTAACGCGGACGCACCTAGTGAACAGATAGACACCTAGCCATAGAACCCGAGTTGTAAGGGTTGTAACTTGATTTTAAGCTTTCGTGACTGCAGGAATTGCTCTTTGTTTATTTCGGTAAAGTCACGTAGAAAGAAAATAAATTAAATAATAGAATACGACGTTTCGATTGCAACACAAGCAACCGCCATCAGGTAGAACTAAATTTGAGAGAGACACACAAGCAGAGACAACATAGACACACAGAGAGAGACACACACAACATAGACACACAGAGACCCAATGCCTCTGTGTCGAGGCCTTAAATAGAAAGGGGGGGGGGGGCAGAGAGAGAGGTGGGTCTCCTGGGGCAGCTGCTGGAGCAGAGAAATTAGCATGTCAATGAATCCACCCCGAAGCGACCGAGGGAAAGAAGATCGAATGGCCTTTTATCGCTGTTTGCCTTGGTTCCCACTTCCTATTTGGCGTCAGGGCACCACGGTGGCTTGGAGATGTGAATTACCTCGCCTAAACTTCGATTTAAAGCTTTCGTGACTGCAGGGATTCATCTTTATGGTTCTTTCGGTAAAGTCACGTAGAAGGGAAATAATAAAATAATAGAAATAAAACATAATAAAATAATTCTCACGACGTTTCGGCTTCTTAAGCTCCCACAATGGATAAGTGCGGCTGTGGTCTCACTGAGATGCGATGCGTGCCGCCATCTTGACTTATCTGTGTAATGGCTGACGCCCGCGTGGTACAGTGGAAATCTGACATCGGCACTTCCTGGTCACGTGACCAACATTAGCATAAAAAAACAGGAACTTCCTGTTAACATACGCTCCCCATCTGCCGTGAGGCAAGACACTAGTATACTTAGAAATGGAATGTAATACAACAGAGATAACATAACAGTCAACACCCTACCTGGTTGATTACGTTCTTTCTGAGAATGCTAAATTTGAGAGAGAGATAAAACACAGAACCAGAAACATATAGACAGACATATAAGCAGACAGATATCACAGAGATACATAGAGAGAGAACAAACATAGGCACACAGAGAAAGCAACGCCTCTTGTGTCGAGGCCTTAAATAGAGAGAGGGGGCGGGGGCAGAGAGAGAGGGAGGGGTTAGAGAAATTAGCATGTCAATGAGTGGCACGACGAGTGGTACGGTGATCGGGGTCCGTTGTGGGGATCGGCCTGGAGTCCCGTGTCTCTTCGTCTTTGCTCGTCACTCCTCGTTCGTCGGTTGAGTGGAGCCTGATATCGCGGGTCAGACTGTGTGTGCTGGCTGGCCCGTTCGCTACACTAACGTGCACGCACATAGCGAACAGATAGACACCTAGCCATAGAACCCGAGTTGTAAGAGTTGTAATTTGATTTTAAGCATTCGTGACTGCAGAAATTGCTCTTTGTTTCTTTCGGTAAAGTCACGTAAAAATAAAATGAATAATAGAATACGACGTTTCGATTGCAACACAAGCAACCGTCATCAGGTAGAACTAAATTTGAGAGAGACACACAAGCAGAGACAACATAGACACACAGAGAGAGACACACAACATAGACACACAGAGACCCAATGCCTCTGTGTCGAGGCCTTAAATAGAATGAGGGGGGGGGGCAGAGAGAGAGGTGGGTCTCCTGGGGCAGCTGCTGGAGCAAAGAAATTAGCATGTCAATGAATCCACCCCGAAGCGACCGAGGGAAAGAAGATCGAATGGCCTTTTATCGCTGTTTGCCTTGGTTCCCACTTCCTATTTGGCGTCAGGGCACCACGGTGGCTTGGAGATGTGAATTACCTCGCCTAAACTTCGATTTAAAGCTTTCGTGACTGCAGGGATTCATCTTTATGGTTCTTTCGGTAAAGTCACGTAGAAGGGAAATAATAAAATAATAGAAATAAAACATAATAAAATAATTCTCACGACGTTTCGGCTACAACG